ACGTACCTGATAGACGAAATACATAACAACATTGACAAGTCTAAATGTATTTCCTTTATGATCCACTGGATTCCAGGGCATAAAAACATATCGATAAATGAAAAGACTGATGCCATAGCCAAACAGGCTACGCGGCAAGGTAGGCTAATTAGCTCTAGCTGTAGTTTTGATGAAGCTGTCAGAAATGTGAAATACAGAGTTCAAATGGAGTGGCATAATGAATTTAATCTAATCTCTCAAAACAGAGGTTACTTTTTCGCTTCGATTTTCAATTAACTACCAGCCAAACCTTGGCACTGGGGCTTAGATTGGAGCGCTAAAAGAATCAAAGTAATAAACAGATTACCCACAGATAAGACTTATGACAATGTTTTCTTGTGCGCAATGAAGTCTCGGGATTCCCACACATGCGAAACCTGCAACACTTTAGATGATGCTGAACATCAAATCTTTTTCTGCCAAAGACACACTGACATCAGGAAAAAATATAAAATATTTAAGCGATTTCAAAATATAAGAAATTTACTCATCACCAAGGAACAAATCTTTTTCAGAGAACTTGCCAAGTTTATTGATGAAGCCAAATTAGTCATTAAAAAAAAAAAAAAAAAAAAAAATTAAAAATACAAATTGCACTCACGAGGGCTATCGGAAGTCGACTAGTGGATTGGACTTCTGCCCTTCCTGCCACTCTTCTTTTGATAGTGCCATCTGCACATATCGTATTTATTGACTAACCCTTTATGTTTATATAATTAAATACTTAATAAACTATTTATGTTAACTAATTTGTTGTTGAAAACATAATAAGTATAAAAAAATAGAGATCAAATACAAAAAAGGAAATGAAGAGGAAAGAATGACTTAAAACAGACAAAACAAAACAAGATCTGCATTAAAAAAAAAAAAAGAGGAAAAAGAAAGAAACGGACGGTGCTCCGAAGCAGTAGCCGCCGATGTGTGCGGCTGTCCACTTTGGCCCAAGGGCCGCCCGTCAAATAAGGAGAGGGCAACTACGACGTCTCCCACATTGCCCTTAATGGTTGTAACTTTTTTGTTTTTTTAACTGATTAACTGTACATATTTCACGACGAAATTTCGAATAATGGATCAAGCGCGAAAAAGCTAGCCCAATCTTTGAAAAAATCCAGAAAAGCCTATTTTTTGTGTTTAATTTGATTTCTTTTATTTTAATTTTTTTTTTTCCTATTAGGGGACGGGCACACTAAACCTCGCCAGGCCTTATATAAAGAGGGCTTGGGCCGTGGATAGTCGCCTGTTGTTCGACAGCGGTCGACGAGGTCAGTTTGATTTTTGTTTGCACCTCTTTGGGCATTCGTGCGAATTTATGTTGATCGTATTGGGGAAAAAAATGCATAGAAACCAGTGTTAGTTTAAATGTTAAAAATTTTAACACTATTATTCCACGCCACCAAGGAGGTTGAGAGATTGGCGCACTTTTTTTTTTATATGGTTTCCCCAGGAGGCCTAATCCACTTGTAATGTTAGTAAGCGAAATTAAACTTAAGATGTTAAAATAAGGATTTAAGGAAAATGTTCAGCTTCATATTAAAAACTAAATACTATCTAAAATTGTTACTAATAAATAGTTATGGTCATGGCAATCATAGTTTGCCAGTACGCCAATGAAGTGCAAACTTTGCACCTGCAAAGAGTTGCATGCTTTCTTTTTCTAAGAAGGCATCATCCATTCTTAGCCCTCCAGCCATTCTTCCACTTTTTCCCTATTTTTTCCCTTGTCGTTATTGAGAAAGACGGCCCCAAGGAAAGCGGATTCTGGACAAAGGCAAAAGAATCTATTGGCTATTGCAGCTATTGACTTGATTTCCTCTAAACACAAATCCCTAGTACTGTCATTGCAGTACGTCTTTGAATAATTCTGAATTAATGCTATCTCTTTTTATACGTTAACTTTGACGAAATTAAAAAACAAATACAAATTAATACGTTTTTATTGAGTGAGAGAGTTTTCAGATAAAAAATGGACGCTTTCCTAATGCCATCAGCACTTTCGTTTCTATTTACTATCCAAGTTTCTTGATCAGCTTGTTCCCTTTGGTAACCAGACTCCAATTCTCTTTGACAATTGTTAGGAACATGCAATTATAGGCAAAGTGTTTTCAATGTGGTTGTTCAAACCTTTTCCAATTCTTCAACCGACATGGAGGTTGTATCATTTTTATTTTTTTAAAACCTAAATGCAGAGTCTCCTAATATTAAAATAGGGACTTGGACTCCATTAATACATTTTGCATTTTCTTGTAAATTACTTGACTCCACCAATTTCCGTTTCAAACTGGAACTCTCAAATACGTTGGAATCGTGGCTTCGACAGCAGTTCCCCACACTTCCATACGAGAATCTGTAACTATTTAACATATGAATTTAATGGTGGAATTTCCTTCTGCACAAAGGGAAAACAACTGTTTAGTTCCAACCCTTGTAGTTCCTATAGTCCACTGCATCCCTAGCTCTCGACTTCATCTCGATATGACACCCATCTAGTTATAAATAAATAAATTAAATTATGAATATATTTGTACTATTAAACCCTTCCCCATTGCTCCCAAACATTGTGGAAACCAAATGTCTTCAAAACCTTTAACGGTTTCCGTAACTTTTTCTTGGGTGAGAAAATCTGGTGGTAAATACTCTCTAGTAAATGTTTTGATAACCTCTCTGCAAAACTCCAATGAGATCTGGCACACTATTGCTCTGGAGACGCCAAAAAGACTGGCTATAGTGTATACGGAATTACAATTTTTTTGTTTTTGGAAAAAGTAAAAGTTTTTCTTTCATATCTTGCCATTAACTATATTTTTGATTTCTCCCGTCTCGAACATTAATTGTTTTGCATTTTCTATTGTGTCGTTTAAGTTCAAAAAAATGTTTGACTTGAAATTGTATGGGCGTAAGAACTCCTTTATATTTCTTTTCAGAAAGAACGAGCTTATTTTGGAATAACATCGGAGATACTTTTTCGTGGATATCAAATTCTTTAGCATTACACCATACTTCCTTTCTTTTTAATTATTTTACTAATTTAAAAAATGAATTTATGTTTTTGAAGGGATCTTGTAAAAATAAACATATTTCTTTTAATTCCATACTGGCTTCTTTGTCATATTGAGAAAGGAGTGTCTCAATTCTTTTAGAAATAGGTTTACAAAAAGATTCTTTAAAATGGTTAGCAATCATTTGGACATCTTCCCTACAAAAATTCGGTTTTGAGTGCAAGCTACATAAAAACTTAAGAGAAATATTTTCATAATATTGATCATCAATACCATGTTTATCTTTTTCATCGTCAGTTTTTAGCGTACTTTCACTATTTTCATTTTCATACAGGGTTTTGGTTTGAAATGGGGTTTCATTATTCTAATTGGCAAGATTAGATACCATACATGATTTTAAGAAATTTTTTTAAATGATCTAAGCCTGTGTAATAATGACAACATTCAGAGCAAAAATATGTGTCATATGCACTTAAATTATGGCACTCTTTTAAATGTAAATAAAGACTACTTACATTATCGAACGATCGTTTACATTTAAAGCAAGAAGGCATTTTGAACACAAAGGATATTTAAACTTTAATTTAAGTCGCTTAGTAAACTCAATAAAATCGGTGATGACTTATCTAACGGCAAATTAATATTGTAAAAAAATTTTTGTATAAATGTCCAAAATTCAATACTCATGCCTGCTCCGGTAACCGAAAACGGCAAGATTTTTTCGTTTTCGTTTTTGAAAACGAGAAATCGGTCCTCCGGTAATCGAAAACGAAAGATTTTTTCGGTTTGAAAAACGGGCACCATTTTCTGGCCGGAATGAAAAGTAAATGGCTTTTTTATATGCAGGCCTGCTCCGGTAATCGTAAAATTTCGTTTTGGACGAAAACGAACCGTTTTCGTTTTTAGCTGCTCCGGTTTTCGGCAAATTTCTGCTATCGGAATGTTTCGTTTTCTCATTGTTTCTCACTGCTCAAGCAGCTAACTTGTGTTTTTGGTAATAAGCAAACAACTTAAAGTACTGCCTTTTATATTTACAATTGCCCTTTTTATAAGCCAGAAAAAGGCAAAAAAAATGCTAGAGTTAAGCAAATCAGACATCTAAGATGCTGCCACACTTTTCAGTTTTAATTCCGGTGGTCTCAAATAATTATTTAGTTAATTTGGACCATTTAAGTAATCATATTAAAAAGCATTATTTATAAACAACCATTTTGGCGGTCCTTTAAAGTTATTAATGTATTCATTTATATTTTATAAGTATTTTTAACTGGATGTTTCGTTCCACCAACAATATGGCAACCTTGGCGATAACTTTTTGCGGTGTACTTATCGACCTATCGTCAAAACGAGAAAACTGGTTGAACACGGCAAAAATTTTCTTGTCAAATCTGAGGAGGGGTCGGAAATAAATTTTTTATAAAATAACTACCTGCCAGAATGATCTTGTGGTGGTGTGGAATAAACATCAATAGACCACTGAGTAAACTATTTTTTTCCTTTTGTAAATAAGATCTGATTTCACATAAAAAAGGCATATACTTTTCATTCCGGCCAGAAAAAGGTGCCCGTTTTTCAAATCGAAAAAAATCTTTCGTTTTCGATTACCGGAGCACCAATTTCGCGTTTTCAAAAACGAAAACGAAAAAATCTTGCCGTTTTCGATTACCGGAGCAGGCCTGATTATTCCATTTCTACAAGACGTGCCATAATTTTTTCAATATATTTTTGTTTTTATTAAAATCAGGGTTAATTAATAAATATACATTTTAATTATATTTTTCGTTTCTGAAAAGATGTTTGCTTGTAATCAAACCCGTGGCCGTAAAGTGAAAGCACTAATTTAAAATTCGCGCCGATAGGTACTTAAGTCATCGATAGTTTTCCGGTGCAACTGAAAATGTACCATTCACTACGATGTTTTCCCAGTTCTAGTTGTCATTCGCCCCGCAAAATAAACCATTCGCCGCGAATATGTTACATATTCACACTTTCGTGCTCACATGTAAATAAACCTTTGGAAATGTTGTAATTATGCTGCGCAAGGGCCAAAATCAAGCGCACCTGTTGGCACGATGCCTGGGACAGATGGCGCGCAGTATGGCCACATCAAAAACAGGCACCGTCAATCAGGAAAAGGCTAAGCCAAAGCTACCGAAACCCGCTGCCGTAGAAATGCCGGTGGAAGAACCATTGAACGCTCATTATTTGTCCAAATCGTTGGGTGCGTTAATGTCAGCTTAAAATATTATTATTAAATATTAACCAAACTAAATATTAGGTAGCAACTACCGGGCGTGGGTCGCTGCCTTGGAGAAGCATCCCGAACTGAAGACGGTGAAACGCAAAGACCTGCTCAACTCGTATGAAACTTTAAAATCCCTGGCTTACACCGTGGAAGACATCATAACAAAGCCAATGATCATCTACTACGGAGCCGCCACGCTAGCTAATCGCCACAGTGTCCTAGAGGAGTGCGGCTTCCAGAATATTACCATCCCAACGCTGTCCAAATACGTCACGGTGGTGAACAAATCAATTGAAATCCTGAAGGCGCACTCCTACATCCCGTACGATGTAAAAGTGGCAGAACGCCTGGCCAATTACTTCACCGGCATCCACCTGCCGGTGGATATGAGGGATCTTGACAGCGAAAACCTCACGTTGAAGAGTCTGAGGCAATCTCTGCTGAACGCCTACCTACGCGAGCGGCTCCAGATGGACGACAGTGATCTGCAGAAGCTATGGCGCGTCTACTCCCGCATACGTCACAAGAGCTTTCGTGCCGTGCAGGACACCGTCGAGCTGCTAACCTCAGAGCTAAGGTTCACAGAAGAGCGGCTTAGAAAAAATAGTTTTCTGCTTTACTCGGACGCGGACAATATTCGTCGTATTCTGAAGGAGATCCCCACCATTGATTCGCAGAGTATACGCGATATTGGCTTTCGGCGGCCAAAAATTCTGATGTCCACATGCGATAGCTTAAGGCAGACTCTGCAGCATGTTCATGCATTTGGGATTAGCGAGGCTGCCGTGCTGCGTTGTCTGGAGGTGTTGACCCTGGGACCGGATACGGTGTTGGAGCGCCTAAGAGACCTGCAGGAAATCGAGGAGTTCCAAGTGCTGGGCACCAATCCGAGAGTGCTGCGCCTGGTACACTACCAAAATAAAGCGCGACTTCGTCTAGATTACCTTAGTCAGCTTAAGGTGCGCTGCGCTTCTCTGCACATCCTCTCCTGCGGCTCCGAAGCCTTTGCAAAGTGAGTATGTAAAATCGAATATTCCACGGAGACAAAAACCTAGTTTTTCCATCAAGATTTGCACGAGATGGCTCGGATCGCACCAAGGGTCGCGATATTGTTGTTTACTTGGGCAACATTCTATCTAAGGATGAGCAGGAGCTGCGCAACCTGCTCTCCCGCCATCCCAACTGGTGCCACACACCCTTGCTGCATGTTAAACAGTGCCTGGAGTTCTTGCGCAGCAAAAAGTTTAAACTGAAGGAAATATTTGCCAACATCCATCTGCTGCTGTATCCCATGTAAGAATTAGTGAAATTGCAACTAAGGGAATGCATAATTTCCAACTCCTTCCTATACAGAAAACGCATTGAGGAGAAGATGCATATACTTCAGGCCCCAGATGCTCAGGAGGAACTGCAGCTCCCCGTGTCGGACTTTTATGAGTTGAGCAATAACGAGATCCTGACCCTTGTTCTCTACCTTATCGAATCGGAGTTCCACTTCACTGGCGACGGCATCTGGACGGAACAGCATACACATCACGTGGAGAATTTTAACAATTTGCTGCCCGACTTTCCTGAGAGCCTCAACAAGGTTTACAAGTACGGCGTCAAGCCGGCCGAGAAGCTAGTCATGCAGCACTTGTAAGCCGAACAAAGGAATTGTAAATAAAAAGTTTTTTATTGGAATTAGCATCAAGAACGCACAAGTCCCTCATCACTTCTTAGGTTTCCTTATCATTACTTTTTGCCACCTCAAACTCCTGCTACTTGTTATCTGAAACCGCATCGTCAGATGCTGCTTTTCTCCAATCTACGTACAATTCATTGTCGTGAACAACTTTGATGGGCTTGTATTTAAGATTCACCTTGCCGGTTTTCTTCAAAACCTCCTGATAAGCGGCTGTCAGTGGCTGCTGCACTGCCTCCCTGTATACATAGTTTTCACCCTGGAAAAGAAAATACAGGGTAATGGCTGGCAACAGCAATGGCGCTAGAATCTTACCAAATCATAGGTGCGATCAGAGTCTAGATCACCATTATAGGCAACAAAGGGCACGTGGACGATGGGAGGGTCTCCCTTCAACCTTACCACCCACGACGCCTCGGGATGATCGTGCCATTCGGAGGTCAGATTGCAAAGCTTGTGACCTTCGGGCAAACAAAACTGCCTTGCCACCACGAAGGCCTCAATGCTGGAATTCCGCGACGCAGAAGGTTTGAACACGCACACATCCTGGAAGAAACGCTTTAGCTGGGTGTAAACGCGACTGATGTTATCCGCTCGATAGATCTTCGCCACGAAGGAGCCTCCCGTTTCCAGCACATAAGTGGCAATGCTCAAAGCGGAGAGGATCAGCTCACTTTGGACATAGCAATCGAATTCATGCATGCGGGTAGAATCCGGAGCTCCATCGCTGACCACTATCTGAGCCTTGTCTCCTCCAAAAAAATTGATGATGGCCTCCGCTGTCGATTTCTTACTTATGTCCGCCCGCAGCTGTGTAACGCCCTCTATAGGCGCCATGCCCTGCAAGTCAACTGCGATGATTTTCACCTTTTTCCGCTCACTCGGCCCAAGGGGTTCGTAGATGCGCTTGGCCAGAACCTGGGACCAGCTGCCGGGAGCAGCACACAGGTCAACGGCTCGTGTGAGACCTGAAATTGGAGAGGTAGTTAGGCTAAGAAACACAATGAGCACGCGGTCGGGGGTAAACAGCACCTTCTAAAAGGCGGAACGTCTCATCCGCCTGCAAAAGTTTGAAGGCACTCCGCGCCCGCCATCCCTGCTCCTTGGCCAACCTATAGAATATGTCACGTTTGTCCTTCGAAGTCCTTCCCATTGGAAAACCGTAGTTTGTTAATCAGCTGTAAATCCAAAACAATCCATTTAGAAGATATCCGAATTAATTAAGCTGGTTTCCCGCTAAATATGGCTACTTTTGTACAGTACACTTGTAATAGCCAATTCACATTATAGGGTCTTCCCACACAACATTAAAGCGCATTTAGCATCCGTTGAACAAATGCTCCATAAGGTTTTACCGTTCCGAATTTTCCCAAATGGCCCGTCGTTAGTTCAGCATTAAAATCTAACCACGGTTTGTTTGGCGATAGTTAGGCGATAGTTCTTCGGTGCAACTCTGATTCTTCTTCTTAATTTGACCATTCACCACGAAAATGTAAACAATTTGGCGAGGAACAAATGAGATATGTAATTTAAAACGTGGCGCCAAAGCTACAAGCGTGCCCAAAATAGTTCTTGGCGTTTTTTCTGTATATTCTTGCCCCAATATGTCCCCAATTGTTACTATTTAATATAAATCGCCTGCCTCTACCTTATATTAAAGATTTTGGATGCGTATACCACCTGTTAGAGAAAAATCATTAGAAAAACTAAAATTCCTTGTCATTTAATTCATTTAAATTTATTGCGGATAAATTCTGACGCAATCTGTGCCTTTTGCTGTTCTACAACAGCCAAAATAGTTGGTAAATGCTCCATTTCAAATTTGCAACTGCCAATTCGACAGCCTTTGTTTACGTTTTCATGAGCCACAGCTGATCGATCAGCTGTTCGGATGCTAAATGCGCTTTAATGTTGTGTGGGAACACGAGTTTCACATTTGTGAAAAATCCCAAACGTTCCTCACAAATGCGCTGTGTGGGAAGACAGTATTAGACCATATTTTCCGTATTTCCAACGTTCCTTCAAATATCCCTATAATGTTTATACAATCTTTTAAATCGGTTTAAAATTACGTTTTCTCTTATTTTTGTCAGCTTTTAGAATGAGTTAAGTTTTATCTCCAATAATAAAACAAAGAGAAAAATTCGCATTAAAAAGGCCCTCCGCTGCACTTCGTGATTCACGTGCGATAGTATTAAAGTGCAGCGAAGTGGACAACTGACATTAAAAATTCGATATATTCATCGATATACCAGTGTTACTTACATCTCTAGCCCGCAGGTTAGGAGGAATTCCTATTTGTTAAACGCAGCAAAATAGAGGTGGAGAAACATCGATGTTCGGGGACATCGATGTTTTCGATGTTTTTGGCGAAAAACATCGATGAAACATCGATGTTTTAAATAAAAACAAGAAAGGAAGCTAACTTCGGCACGAAGTTTGTATACCCTTGCAGATTGGTTTATATTATAGATTTAAATGCTGAAAACACTCACAAAACAAAGTTTCATTACATTTTATCTATACTTATTATGTTTACAGTTTGACAGTTACAGTTTTACATTACCAGCTTTACATATTTTATACATTTACCGATCGCTTCTATGGCAGCTATAAGATATAGTTGTCCGATTTTTATGAAATTTATACAAAAATTCTAGAATAATAAAAAAAAGCTTATATCTCAGAGTAAATAAAAATACGTTGAAAAACAACGAAGTTATAATTTTTTCTATTACTTTTCCTATCGTTCCTATGGCAGCTATAAGATATAGTCGTCCGATTTTCATAAAATTTAAACCAAAATTTTGAAATAATACCAAAAGCTCATGTGTCAAAGTAGATTAAAATACGTTGAAAAACAACGAAGTTATAATTTTTTCGATTAATTTCCCGATCGTTCCTATGGCAGCTATAAGATATAGTGGTCCGATTTTCATAAAATTTTTACCAAAATTCTGGAATAATATAAAATGGCTATATCTCAAAAATGATGGAATAATATCGAAAAACAGCCAAGTTATAATTTTTTTTCCAAAAATTTATCGAACATTTGTATGGCAGCTATATGATATAGTCGTCCGATCCGGCCCGTTCCGACATATGTAGCAGTGAGAGCATATAGAAGACTATATGCAAAGTTTCATTCAGATAGCTTTAAAACTGAGGGACTAGTTTGCGTAGAAACGGACAGACGGACGGACAGACGGACAGACGGACGGACAGACGGACAGACGGACAGACGGACATGGCTAGATCGACTCGGCTATTGATGCTGATCAAGAATATATATACTTTATAGGGTCGGAAACGTCTCCTTCACTGAGTTGCAAACTTCTGACTGAAATTATAATACCCTGCAAGGGTATAAAAATTAGCAGTTATATTAGTGTATATGAACTTTATTATAATTTGTAATATTAAAAAAATAAAAGACAAATTTTCAACAAAAATTCAATTTTTTTAATCACTTGTTAAATGAAAAAAACAAAAAACTAATTAAAATAAAACTTCATGATATTCATGTTCCACTTCTTTGGTATATAGTTTCTTTTTCTTAGTTTGTAAATAAAAACTAAAAACAAAAACAAATTTAATATCAATGTTTCAATATATACATGGTCCAAAGAAAATAATAGTTTTTTAGGATATTGCTATCCCGAACTCTAGTATATATATTTACATATTTTTCCATGTTTGTTTTTGTTTAAGGAAGAGGAGCCGCGTGCGAAGCTCACTTATAAGTTGTGAAGCTTTACTGAAAACTCTTTCAGATTCGTGCGAAGATGCGAGAACGCAGAAGTATTTTTTAGCAAACGTTTTAAAGGAGTCGCCATCTGTAGTAATCTAAAATATAATTAATACAATAAATAAATGAAAAAACATCGATGTTGCCCCGCTAAGCATCGATGTTTCCGATGTTTCGAAAACATCGATGTCATCGATGTTCGCATCGATGTTTCTCCACCTCTACAGCAAAACGAAGAAAAAAATTGCTGTTTTTGCTATGATAACAGGTCAACCGACACCCAGTTCTCCCGATTCGCCCACTCCACAAACAATAAGAAGGTAAAGGAAGACGAGGAGGAGCCCTAATTATGGCCCAATTAAAAAAGCTTTACATGAGCTCCAACATCGAAGACCTGGAGAAGATGACAATAATCCCCGATTTGCGCAACACGAGTATGAAAATGTAAGTTTAAATTCGCCGTTGAGTTTGCTTTGATTTCATCGTTGTTTTCGCAGCCTGCTCAACACCACTCGTAAGCTGTACGTGGCCGCCGAGGAGTACCGCTTGGATGGCGATGAGGAGCTGGCCTATATCACCTACATGAAGTACTTCAATATGCTAACCGCCATTCGCAAGAAATCGGACTACGCTATTCACAAGACGACTGTGCGCCAGATGCTGGGCGATACCGCGTCGAATCGCCGCATCATGGACTCGCTGGAGCTGATAAGCCAGTCCCTGTTGCTTCGCTATGAGCAGCTGCAATGCCCGGTGGCGGAACCAATTGCTTCAATCGTCGGCAATGGACAGGAGCCCAAAAGCTCGACAGGAGAACTGGCCACGAACTTCGCCCGATTGGGGCTAATTACATGCGAGGAGTTGTACCGACGCATGCAGGAAAAGTCCGTTCTGGTCATGGACTGTCGCTCCAGTGCGGACTATGAAGTGTCTCACCTCACCTACTTCTGTGCATTCAATGTACCTGAGGAGCTCATAACACCGGGGTGAGTAAATGAAAAACTCTTACTCACCACCGATTTTTCTCACTTACCTTTTCCACTTCCAGGATGTCGGCTGGCCGGTTGCAGGCTCGTCTAAGTAGCACCGGAAAGGCTGCCTGGGCTTCGCGCGCCGTCAAGGATTCTGTGGTTTTAATAGACTGGAACAGCAAGGATTCCCCACCAGCTGCAAATACAGCCATAGCCACGCTTCTGGACATCCTAAAGAATGTAATTATTAAAAAAATACTGAGCAACAAATCTTTAAAGCATCTTCGCATTGCAGTGGGATCCGGACGTGACCTACCGGGCTCCCATCCAGCTTGTTGAAGGCGGCTACGAGTTCTTCATCATGATGTACCCTACCCATTGCACAAATCCCAGTGTACAGGCGCCGCAGCAGAACAATAATGACATCGAAACCATCGATGACATTGAATACCCTTCGATTAACGACATCACCATGAAGGAGGACATCAGCGCGAAGGACTTTAAGCCTCGGCCAAATATTAACAGAGCCAGCAAGCCTACAGCCATGCGCACCTACGACCAGCAGGGGCTGAACAAGGCCAACGGAGCGCCAATGACGAAGCCCATTGCCGAGATCATGCGGGATCAGGAGGAATTCCTACAGCGGGCCGAGCAAAACGATGTTCAGCTGGAAAGTGCCTCGAAAATGTGGAAGCGACAGGCCATAGAGGGCGACGACCTAAATGCAGTCGAAAATCAGGAGCTTCGTTTCCGAATCCTCCAACTAGAAAGCAAAGCCCTCGACAATGTAAATAACCTAATTTCTTGTAATTATTTTTTAAACATTTATGCTTGTGCAATTATGACTTGTAGGTTATTGAGAACAACCGACTGCGGGACGAACTAGATCGGCTCAAGGAAGAGCAGCTAACGGCCAAGGAGGTAGAGGCCACGCGAAACATCGAGTCAAAGATCAAGGAGCGACAACGGCTGGACGACCAGCACGAGCAGGAGCGACTAGAGCGGGAGCGCCAGCTGGCTATTGCACGCGAAGCGAAAAAGGCGTATAAATCCCCAACGCCCGCAACCCGACCACCCCAGCATGATCTATTCGACAGCTTGGGGTCTGTGCCTAAGGTGTCCGGTGAAGATATGCCACCCATAGATCCGTCATACGAATCTAGTCGAGTGGAAAGGCCCACTTTCGATCGGGCTATGAAACCACAGCACAGAACGGAAGAGAGGCCAGTGCAGCGGGTCCGTGATTTCTCACCCGTTGCGGGTCACAATGTGGTGAGTGTGCAAGAGGGGATTACGGACTTGTTGGGGTTGTTGATTCACATTGTCCGCCTATAAATAGCCAAATCAATAGCCAAGGGCTCACGTTTCAAGAACACCCGTCCACCGGACGGCCTCTCAGCCTCAGTTTGAGTCTCAGTCACTCGCTGTCCGCACTCAAAGCATGTCCAAACCACAGAAACGTAGAATTCCTAAACTGTTGAGCAAAAGAAGCCGCAGCCGAAAGGATTTCGCGAATGCTTTGTGTGGCGGGAGTGAAATTCCAGCTGCCAGCAGCTCCACCCACCACTTACAGTATTTATAGCTCCATCCTCCCACTGCGACGAGTAAAGTTCTAAGAATACTTCATGCCTACTCTCAATAACAATTGCATTCTGCTCCATACTTTTGCAGGGACGCGGATTGACGGGCCTGAAGAACCTGGGCAACACCTGCTATATGAACAGCATTCTGCAGTGCTTGAGTAACACTGTCCAGCTGACTGAGTACTGCATATCGGACAAATACAAAGATTACATTAGCAGGAGCAACAGCAGGACCAACGGACACGTGATCGAGGAGGTGGCCGCACTTATCAAGGAGCTGTGGAACGGCCAGTATAAGTGTGTGGCCAGTCGCGACTTGAGGGTGGGTCCACTCGGACTTCAAGACATTTTTTCAATGCATTTTTAATGTTCTATTGCCGTGTTGTTGCTGTTATGTTTTCAGTACATTGTTGGCCAATATCAGCAGATCTTTCGCGGCTTTGATCAGCAGGACTCTCACGAATTCCTTACCATTCTGATGGACTGGCTTCACTCGGACCTGCAGACGCTGCGCGTGGCCCGGCAGCGGGAGACAATGAGCGCCTCGGAAAAAGCCTGGCTGGAGTTCACCAAGGCCAAGGAGAGCATGATATTGCACTTATTCTATGGCCAGATGAAGAGCACCGTTAAGTGCGTGGCCTGCCACAAGGAGTCGGCCACGTACGAGTGCTTCTCGAATCTCAGTTTGGAGCTGCCGCCCAATTCGAATGTTTGCCAGCTAAGCCAGTGCATGGATATGTACTTCAGCGGAGAGCGCATCCACGGCTGGAATTGCCCAAACTGCAAAACCAAAAGGGATGCCATAAAGAAGCTGGATATATCGAAGCTGCCGCCAGTGCTAGTGGTGCATTTAAAGCGGTGGGTCACCATCAACAAATGAATATACGAATGTGCTTTTACTTCTTTGATTCCCTTACAGTTTTTACGCGGACCCCAGCAATTCATGCGCCTACATAAAGAAGCAAAACTATTTGCGTTTTCCTTTGGAGAACCTGGAGATGAATCCTTACATTGCCCGGGCGGAGTCACGGGCAGGCACGCCCAAAACCTATCAGCTCTATGCCGTTTCAAATCACTATGGCTCCATGGAGGGTGGCCACTACACGGCTTTTTGCAAAAGCGCCAACTACGGCAAGTGGTTTAAATTCGACGACCAGATCGTTACAACGCTGGATACCTCGAATGTGGTCTCCAGCGCCGCCTACATTCTTTTTTACACTCGGCTGCCGCCAATGCAATTGTCATTATGAGCGCCGCTCCGTTCGATTTCTCCCCTTCCAATGTCGTCGCAGTCTTAAATTGTGTTTTGATTTACGATTCCATTATTCGTATAGCCTCTTGTCTAGTCGCCCCCGCCCACTGATCATTTACCAATTACGAATAACTGTTGCTTGTTTGTTTGTTGTTGCCGAAAGGATAGTGTTACGCAAGGGGGCGTATTGTTAGGGGGTGTGCGGAGCTGCATTCGCTAGAACCAAGGACTCCAAGGGTATTACGCGTACGTAATGGGAAATACACTTATGGGCGTGATTGTGTATTTATAGTTTATTGTATTTTGCAATAATATTTTTAAACCAAAAAATAAACGAAATTAAATTTCTTGTATATTAATTAATTAATGTGGCATAGCAGGGAATACTTTAACGTTTAATGAAGGTAGGAAAAAAATATTTGTTCGTCTATAATGGATATATATGTAATTATGTAAATCGGTGATGAAAATTACCTACCTTTTTTCCGCTGTCCGAACTTAAATTATAATTCCCTGGCAGACAATTGTTAAGTTGTACAACAACAACAAAGAACTAACACTCGGAGACGCACTTCGAAATTAAAAAAAATCAAATATTATAGACTTATTTATTAATTATCAAAAAACTCATTCAATGCAAAAGGTGATCGGTTTTTCCTCTTTCGTAAATTAACGAGGGCACATGGCATGGCGACCACCGTCCACGGACAGACTAACACCTGTGCTGAAGCTGGCTGCGTCGCTGGCAAGGAATGCGATGGCCGCCGCCACTTCCTTGACATCTCCAGGCCGACCCAAGGCATGGGTGATTTTACAGTGCTCAAGGAACTTGGCGTAAGTCTCCTCGTCCATGCCGCCGCGCTTATGAATGTCGGTGATTATTACACCGGGATTCACGGCATTTACACGAACTCCTTTCGAGGCCAACTCGAGGGCCACACAGGCCGTGAACTGATCAACGGCGGCCTTGGATACGTTGTAAGCCAAGACACCGGGAAAGGCCCTTAGTCCACACACACTCGACACGTTCACAATATTTCCCTTGCTCTTGATCAGCTCCGGAGTGGCCAGCATGGTGAGTTGGTACAGGGACCGCACATTGGTGTTCATTAGGCGATCAAACTGCTCCAGGCTGGTATTCTCAATAGAACCGGTCTCCAGGATTCCTGCATTATTGACCAGAACGTCGATGCGTCCGTACTTAGCTAGAGTGGCGGTCACTATCTGTTCCACCTCGGACTCCTTGGTCATGTCGGCCAGCAACTCCAAGGGCGCTGATCCACCGGCGGCTACAATTTTGTCAGCTGTTTCCTTCAAATTGCCGGCATTGCGACCCACTATTACCAGGAGGCCACCGAGGCCAGCCAAGTGGACAGCACAACCTGCTCCAATGCCGGAGCTGGCGCCGGTGACAATAATTACTTTGTCCTTGAAGGTTGACATTGAAATCTTACAAAACGAGGACTGGCAACTGGAGAGCTGGTAGTAAATCGATGCTGAATCAACCCTAACCCTGCTCCTGCAATAGCTTTTCGACGGAAAGCTCCTACGTCAGATCGTAAAAGCTTTAAAATGAATACATACATATTTTCGTATATGATCATTATGATTATGATCAACAAATCAGCTGTTACCATACACTTACTTATTTTGTTGATCTTCGCATGGTACAATTATACAAGGTAGTCCCGTCGAGTTCAACTCGTTCGGATTAGGGGCTTTTATGCTGACTGCTCGTACTTATTCGTTCACACACGCGCTATTGAGCTTTCTCTCACACTTACAGGCTATCCGTCTAACTAAACTTTAAAAGACCGAACTGGGTCTTATTTTTTGGACGGGACTACCTTAAAAATTTGCATCATGGATCTTAATACAGTGAAAGTGTGACCAGTTAGTGAGGGATGCGCGCTCCGCGAGGCGTTTTTTGGGATTTTGGCCGTTAGGGCATACTGACCGGCAGGTAGCGTCCACGTATTAGATTCATAATCAACTTAAAATCACGGGCCTTTAGCCGCCCCGGAAAATGCCAACTGTTTGAATCCCAATCAATCGAACCACGATGATTCTGCCGGAGCGCAGCCGCTTCGTGATCTATGCCTTGGGCATTTTCGTCTGCTATTTTCTGTACGGCATTGTGCAGGAGAAGCTAACGCGGGGGCGCTACGGAGAGGAAGTGCAAGCGGACGGATCCGTGGGCGAACGATTCACCTATGCCCTGGCTCTGGTGTGGGTGCAGTGCCTCTGCAACTATGTATTTGCCAAAGGTGAGGACAGTTTTCTTTCAAGTTCCTGCGAGAAAGCCCACGAACCTTGAGTCTTGCAGGCCTTCTGACCGTGCGACCGCAGAAAGAGGACACCACCCATGTTGGATCCTACGTGGCCTGCTCGCTCACATATCTGCTGGCCATGGTGTCCACTAACATGGCCATGCGCTGGGTGCCGTATCCCACGGCGGTGGTTGGTAAATCCGCCAAGCCAATTCCCGTCATGATCCTGGGCGTGCTCATTGGAAGAAAGTCGTACAGCTGGACGCGTTACGCCTGTGTACTCACCATCGTGCTGGGCGTTATCCTGTTCATGTACAAGGAAGGTAAGGTATCCAATTTGCCGGCAGAGACAACGATGCTGGGTGAGGTGCTGCTCTTCCTCAGTCTCTCCATGGATGGCTTAACCGGCGCTGTACAGGAGCGCATCCGAGCAGCAAGTGCGCCGTCGGGACAGCAAATGATGAAGGCCATGAATTTCTGGAGCACACTGATGCTGGGCGTTGCCATGGTTTTCACCGGTGAGGCGAAGGAGTTCCTTTATTTCACACTTCGCCATCCCGAGGCCTGGACCCATTTGTCGCTGATTTCTGTGTGCGGCGTCCTGGGACAGTTCTTCATCTTTCTGATGGTAGCCAGCTTTGGGCCGCTGGCCTGCTCCGTTGTCACAACCACGCGCAAATTCTTCACCGTCCTGTGCTCTGTGCTGCTCTTTGGTAACGTTTTGATTGCCCGCCAGTGGCTCGGAGCGGTCCTCGTTTTCGCCGCGTTATTCGTGGACATGTTATACGGAAAGCAAAAGCCGCCAGCTGCGCCGGCCAAGAAGCCCCCAGCCGAGGGTAGGGTGTCAGAGGAGATGAAGAAGCTGACTTCGTAGAATTTACTTATTGATGGCGTGGCCTGATGTACATATGAACATACATTACCACTTTTAGAGGAGACAATGGCTTTCGACTTTCTGTTAATCGTACAAAGGGTTTTCCTTAGCTATAGCGAACATATGACATTCGATTCTTGATCTGCAAAACCCAAAAATCATTGATTTAAGATAATTAAATTATTAAAGTGTACCAATTAGAAACGGAACAAAGTTTTGGCCGGATCACAAGATCCATTGAACACAGGCCTTATCTTAAAATATAATAAAGACAAATGCTTTTGCAGCCATTTTCTCATCCACGTTATTCGTTCATAGTTACTAAAATAAATAAATAGTTGAACGAACCATAAACCATGAAAAGGCAAAACTTTTTTATTTAATAAATCATTTGTAAATAATAACCATTGAAGTTTTATTAAATGACTCACATAACTTGGAACCGAAACTGGGCAAAATGACGGAGCTCCTTTCAGTGCCGAATTGTGCTGCAAGGGAGTAATGGCTTCATCAGTTGGCTTTCTAAAAATAGCTTTTATTGAGGAAACAGGACAACAGCCTTGAAAAATGTTACCTCTGACATATTCCCCCGAAAAATCAAATTTTTGTATAACAGAAAGACGATATATCGGCCCTTAAAATGAGCACGTTTTTAATTTCGAAAATTACATCAACTCTTCTTTCGAGGGTTTACGTAAACATTGGATGGATTTACAAAACATTTGATGGATTGGATCACTAGATATGTATATGTGTGTTTCACAATTTCTTGAAGGAGAGACTGTCCAGCAGTTAAGCAAGAAGGATGCATTTGGTATTATTCTTAACCAAATCATATTCTTTCCAAATCATCACTTTTTCTGCCCTGATAGTATCATCTCCAACATCAATAACGGAGGCGCTTTGTGGCCGCCTTCATCGCTGCAAGTTAACTTTCTCGGACGGCTCCAACAATGTTTTGGGCTGCGAGTAATTACTTCAGGACATAAATTCGCTGAAGACTGCTCCAGCTACAACAGGTGACATCAGGTTCAGCCGCCGGAATGTTCTGAAGCTGCTCCATTAGTATCAAAGATTTTGGACTTCAAGATTCGGCAGCCGCCGATGAAGAGGCTTTGGCTTGGCCACCGAAGAAACGGAACCACCGTTTAAATAGTTTGAAAATATTTGATTATTAGTTGATAATTGATTGGAACGCTTTAGTGGCCGGTAATCTGGTAATCTAAGGTCTACTACAAAAGCTTTTCACAGTTCCAATACTTCGATCAACAATTGATTTTTTTTTAATACCAATTTAATTAAAATCTGATATAAATATTTTAAGACCTTAATTTCATTAGGCTGTTGCGGCAGGTGTCAAAGTATAAAATACTACATGAAATGCAACAGGTTCATTTTCTTTCCAAATTACTTGCACTTGTTCCAATCTCCGCCTCAATTCGAAAATAGCGCAGAGCCTCTAAGGCAGCTGGGCACACTAAAACGCGCAAAGGCCGAAAAGTCTGGTAATACCGCGTGCTCGAGTTCCGGTACTGCCACACTTTTGAGTCTCAAGTTCTGGGACTGCCAGACTTTTCGGTCGCGAGAATATTGCTATCGAAATATCGCAGGCTTGGACAAAATATCGATATAGCCATTTGGAAGTCTTGACAACCCTAGGTTATTGCCCGTTGCAGATGCGGTCGAAATTTTCGGAGTGTTTTTTAAAATGAATAAATCAATTATTTTTCACGCGTATTATACAATAAATTAAAGTATCAAATCGGCAGGGGAAAGCTATAATCACCCGTGTTGCCTCTCGCAAGGAAAAGTTATAGCGCCGCGTAATTGGAAAAGTTCGACGAAAAGGATATGATATGCTCAGCAACCGCGGGAAAATGCAATAAAACTCGCGAGTGTCTTTAATAATGTGCTAAAATTGTGGTCGGTGTGATTGAAAAGAATCAAAATTCAAAGGCACAACAAAATATTCCTGCTCGTTTGCATAAATCAAATAAAATAAATTTTCCTATTGGGTGAGTCGCGTTATTGTTACTGCTGCTGCCAGCTGTTTGGCTGTGTGTATTTGCCCTGGTGACGTCCGCTCTCCTGCTGTGTGTGTGTGTGTGTGTGTTTGTGCATGAGTGTGTTTTTTTTAGTGCTTTGGCTTAATTTTAGCAACTAAATTCGATCGAAAGTGAGTGGTACCGAAAGAGACGCAAATAAAACAAAAGCCAACAGTGGGCAAGTAAGTGAAATATACTTATATGTATATGTATACTCATTTGTGCAATAACGGCAGATTGCAAGCGATGTAACAGTTTATAATTTGTTCACATGTTGTCAAGTCAAGAAACACAAAGTGAGAGATAAAGAGAGAAAGAGAAACACCCCCGCCTGCTCACATTCCTTTTTAGGGGTGGCTCTTTCGCATATGTACATACATATATACCGTTAGTAATTTGCCGGTTGTTGTCCTTCTTCTTCTTGGTCCAATAGAAAACCCCGTTTAAAAGAGAAGCCTGCAAAGTGCTGCTACTATCATCTCAAAAACCATTATGTAAAACTTGAAGGTTCGCCTTAATTTAATGACATACTCCCACTTATCAGTGTGGCGTCGGACGGAATAATTGTGGAAAAGTGATTTATGCTCGCGATTCGCTGTCCCTGTCCCTCTTTGGCAGATAGTGATACGGAGAGCCCCTTATCGCCCGCACAAGTTCAACAATAAAATAATGACTGCCCGGCAAAACAAAGAACGCATGCATAAATAATACATGCCGGGCCAGTGACACAAATGCACAAGAGTAATAAAAATACAGATGCGCCATTCACACTGATAATAACAGTCATACGACAACAGAACGAAGAACGAGAGATTTTCGCAAACACGTGAAAGAATAAGAAAGCTCGAAACATTTTGAAAGAATTAGTGTGTGAACGTTAAGATCATGTGTCTCGTATATGAAAAGAAAATAACATTTAAATCAGTATGATCGCGTCTAATTAGATGGCTTGAATTCATTTAAGCAACAGTTTCTAATCTATGCAAGTATGTACATATGTACATATCTTTGTATTACAATTAAAGCCTTTTTTAGGGCTTATCATCAGATATTCAAATGTATTAAATGAAATATAAATTAATTTTCGTGTGGTAATTATCAAACTGTGTGCATTAAAAACTAAATTTAATGCGTACATATGTACATATGTATGTACGTAACTGCAGGAGTACTTCAAGGGTTCCAGAAATGCATTTTTTACATTTCTTAGGGGGGCTTAAGGTATTTAATTTTGATTCATTTTTTAAATTTAATTAAATAAATCAATCTTTATCAAAGTCTTGCTTTAAAAAGTCTTTGCCAAAAAGCGCTCTTCTTTTTTTTTAAAGTCGGTGTACATGATAATTCAAAATCTA